TCTCTCTCTCCTTCTCTCTCCCTCCTTCTCTCTCTCTCTCTCCTTCTCTCTCTCCTTCTCTCCCTCCCTCTCTCTCTCTCTCTCCCGTCCCCTCTCCTTCTTCCTTCCCCCCGCTCTCTTCTCTCAGCTTGCGTCGCCGTCGGCGTCGTCGTCGCCGCCGCCGCCGCCGCCGCGTGCCTCTGTCCCGCCTTCCGCGCGCGCTTGCTTGCGCGCCCCTCCGTGGCCTGCAGATGGTTATGAGGACGCTCATGCTCATGCTGCATGCTCACGAGGAGGAGGAGGAGGAGGAGGAGGAGGAGGAGGAGGAGGAGGAGGAGGAGGAGGGAGGAGGAGGAGGAGGAGGAGGAGGACAACCAGGAGGATGATGAGGAGGATGCTGAAATTCTTGGTCCTGACGTGGGTCTGACGCCGGTTGAGTTAGGCGCCAGGCGAGTGAGGCGCCGTTTGAGTGGTGCTGGTGTCGTCTGAAGTCGATTCCGAAGCAGCGGCGTCTTGTAGCGCGTCTCTTGCCGCTGACAGTCAGCCGCTGCTTCTTCAGTATCGGTCGGCGCGTTCTCCAAGCAGCGCCGTTCTCAAGCTCCTCCTCTGCCCGTGTCGGTGTGGGCAATTCCTCTTCGGCACGCGTGGTCGTGGACTCGCCTGAGATCGACTTACTCACAGCGGCATGTTGTACCGCGTCTACTGCCTGTGCCACTGCGGCCCATTCTCTTCCACCGCTGTCTACCCTGTCCTGCAAAACAACTGCAATTTGTAGCGCGTCCTCTGCGTGTGCCCGTCTAGGCGTTTCCACTTTCGCGTACTCCTGAAGTCGCCTGGGGTCGTCTCCGAATCAGCGGCGTTTCGAAGCGAATCTCTTCCCTGTGTCAGTGCGTTGTTCCTTGTTCAGCGCGGGTTCGTGGTGCTTTCCAAAACAGTGACGTTTTGTAGCGCTGCTTTGGAAAGCACCCCGAACCCACGCTCTTCTCTCTTTTTTGTCTTTCTGTTTCTCGTTTGTCGGGGGCGAGAATGAATATTGCGAGCGGTCTGGCGACTACGAGGAGGACGACGAGGACGAGGACGAGCAGCAGGAGACGGACGATGAGGAGGAAGAGGACGTCGGGGACAAGGAAGGGCAGGACGAGGACGAGGAGGACGAGGACGGAAAGGAGGTTCTCGATCACGAGTGGAGGAGGGCGAGGGGGACGAACTACCGGGTGACGGAGTCTCTGGATGAGTTAGGCGCCGGGTGAGCTAGGTGGCGAGTGAGCTCGGCCACGGGCGAATTAAGCACTGAATGGTTATAGGCACCAGGTGAGTGCCGGGTGCTATATGCTCTGGGTGAGTTTGGCACTGGGTAGGTCAGTTCCGGCGTGAGTGAGATGCTATGTGGCTTAGGCGCCGATTGACTCAGGCGGCGCTGGGCGAGTCAGGCGCCGTGCGAGTCAGGCGCCGGGTGAGGTATAGGGTGGGTCAGGCGCCAGGCGAGTTCGGCGCCGGGTGAGTTGGGCACCCCGTGATGTGGGCACCGAGCGAGCTGGGCGTTGGGTGAGAGTTAAGCGCTGGGTGAGTCGGGCGCTGCGTGTGCCAGACGCCGGGTGCGGCTGGCACCGGGTGAGTTGGGCTGTTTTGAAGACAGCGGCACGTTGTAGCGAGTGCTGCGCTTGTGGCCGTGGGGGCATTCATTTTTCAGACTGTTCATGGAGCCGTCTGGGGCTGCAACAAAAAATCAGCGGCGTTCTGTACGTAGCGCGTTTCTTCCTGTGCCAGTGCGCCGTTGCTGCTTAAGCGTGGGTGGGGGGTGCTATCAAAATCAAAGGTGTTCTGTAGCGCTTCTGTTTCCTGTGTAGGCGCGGGGGCTTCCTCGTAAGTGCTCCTGGAGTCGCCTGGTCTCGTGCCAAGAACAGCGACACTGTAGCGAGTCGCCTACCTGTGCCAGCCGTCGCTTGCTTTCCAATCCTGGGCTGGCGCGGTCTGCCAACCAGCGACGTCTTGCAGCGTCTCCTCTGCCTGCGTCCGTGTCGTCGTTTCCCCTTGAAGCGCCGCCAGGTGAAGTAGTCGCTGGGTGAGTGAAGCGCCTGGTGAACTACGCGCCGGGCGAGTTCGGCCGGGTGAGTTCGGCGCCAGGTTGGGTTCCGATTCCGCGTCGGGTGAGGTAGGCACTGGATGAGCGGCGTGTGCAGTGCGCCTCTTGCCTCTGCCTGTCTCTCTCCCATTTTCTCTCCTCCTTCCTCCCTCGTTCTCTTCATGTAGCTCGCGTCGCCGTTGGTGTCGTCGTCGTCGTCGTCGTCGCCGCCGCCGCCGCCGCCGCCGCCGCCGCCGCCGTCTCCGCTTTGTGCCTTCGCTACCCCTTGCGCGCGCGCTCCCCTGAAGAGGAGGACGAAGAGGAGGAGCAGGAGACCGAGGAGGAGGAGCAGGAGACCGAGGAGGAGGAGGAGGAGGAGGAGGAGGAGGATTACAAGGAGCAGGAGTTGGGAAAGGAAGAGGGGGAGGAGGAGGAGCAGGAGGAGGAGGAGGTGGAGGAGGAAGGAGGACGACGACGAAGAGGCGGACAAGGAGGAGGAGGAGGGGGAACACGAGGAGGAGGAGGAGGAGGAGGAGGAGGAGGAGGAGGAGGAGGAGGAGGAGGAGGATGGAGGAGGAGGAGGAGGAGGAGGAGGAGGAGGAGGAGGAGGAGGAGGAGGACGAGGAGGAGGAGGACGCTGAAATTCTTGGTCCTGACGTGGGGTTGCCGCCAATTGAGTTAGGCGTTGGGCGAGTGAGGCGCCGTGTGAGTCAGGCGCCTGGTGAGAGCGGTGCCGGATGAGCCAGGCGCCGGGTGAATCAGGCGCCAGATGAGCTGGGCACCGAGTGCATGAGGTGCATGTGCACCGAGTGAGTTGGGCAGCGGGTGAGTCAGGCGCCGGCGCCAGGTGAGTCAGGCGCCCGCATGTGAGTCAAGCGCCGAGTGAGTTGGGCACCAGGGCAGTGAGGCGCCGGATGAGTTTGGCGCAGGGTGCGTCAGGCGCCGGGTGAGGTAGACGCTGGCTGAGTCAGGCGCCGGATGAGTCAGGCGCCAGGCGAGTCGGGGCTGGGTGAGCGAGGCGCCGGGTGAGTGAGACGCAGGGTGAGTCAGGCGTCAGGTGAGTTGGGCACTGGATGAGTCAAGAACCGAGTGAGTCAGGCATCTGCATTCAGCACCGGGTGAGTCAAGCTTCGGGTGACACCGGGTGAGTTGGGCACCGGATGAGTTAAGCACTGGTCTGGGTGAACTAGACCCAGTGAGTTAAGGGTCGGGTGAGTTAGGTGCGGGTGAGTTTAAAATCGGGTGAGTTAAGGTTCCGGGTGAGTTAAGCATCGGGGTGAACCAGCCCGGTTTCCATATGGAGCTCCGCCGAAGGCCCCAGTGGCAGCGTCCGCATGGCTACCCGCCCCATTTCGGCGCACGCCTCTCACGTTCGTGGCCCCCTAGAGACTCCGCTGAAGGCCTGTGGCAGCGTCAGCATGGTTACCCGCCCCATTCTGGTACACCCCTCGCACGTTTCGTGGCCCCAAAGGGAGCTCTGGGGAAGGCCACATTGGCAGCATCCGCATGGTTACCCGCCCCATTTCGACGCACCTGTCACACGTTTCGCAGCCCCGAAGGGAATTCTGCCGAAGGCCCCAGCGTCAGCGTCCGCATGGTTACCCGCCCCATTTCGGCGCAGATCTCATACGTTTCGTGGCTCCTGAGGGAGCTCCGCCGAAGGTCCCAGTGGCAACGTTGGCATGGTCACCCGCCCCATTTCGGTACACCCCTCGCACGTTTAGTGGCCCCAATTGGAGCTCCGCCGAAGGCCCCAGTGTCAAGGTCTGCGTGGTTACCCGTCAGAGTTCGGCGCACCCCTCACACGTTTCGTATTCCCATAAGAAGCTCCAAGAAACAACCCAGAGGCAGGGTCCGCGTGGTTACCCGCCCCAGTTCGACGCACCTGTCACATGCTGCGTGGCCCCATAGGGAGCTCCACCGAAGGTCCCAATGGCAAGGTCCGCATGGCTGCCCGTCCGATTTCGGCGCACCCTTCACACGCTTCGCGGCCCCCTAGAGACTCCGCCGAAGGCCCCAGTGGCAGCGTCCGCATGGTGACCCGCGCCATTTCGGCGCCCTGGGGGAGCTTCACCGAAGGCCCCAGTGGCAGGGTCCGCATGGTTACTGACCCCAGCTCGTCGCAATCATCACACGTTTCATGGCCCCCAAGTGAGCTCCTCCGAAGGTCCCAGTGCCAGGGTCCTCATGGTTACCCGCCGCATTTCGGCGAAGCGTTCAGGAGTACTGCAGCTCCCTCAGCATATTCATGTGCATTGAGCGATCCTGCTAATGTTCGCCACGCGTTCGCAGTGGGTTGAGTTCCTCGCCAGGGTGACTGTTTTCACCGAGCCACTCTCCGCCAATCGGTCAGGGCATTCAGCCAGGACCCCCACTGGTCCAGGGCGCACGGGGCATGAGGCGTTAGGAGGAGGAGGAGGAGGAGGAGGAGGAGGAGGAGGAGGATGCGGAGGAGGAGGAGGAGGAGGAGGAGGAGGAGGAGGAGGAGAAGGAGGTTGAGAGAGGAGGAGGGAGGAGGAGGAGGGGAGGAGGAGAAGGAGGAGGAGGAGGGGAGAAGGGAGGAGGAGGCGGACGAAGAGAGGGGGAGGAGGAGGAGCGGAGGAGGAGGAGGAGGAGGAGGAGGAGAAGGAGGAGGAGGAGGAGGAGGAGGAAAGGAAGCTACAATTGACACGCTCGATGAAAACAGCTGCCTGCCGGCAGGTGCCTCACTCGACGGCCTCGGGGGCGCGTGGGGCACCCAGCGAAATCGAAGATCGACGGGGCGTCTGCACGTGCGCGTGCTGATGGCACGATGCGTTGTCGCGCGTGCCTGCTGCAGGGGAAGGGGGAGAGAGGTGGAGGAGGGAGGGAGGGGGGGGGAGGGGAACCTGAGGCGGAGGGAGGCTGGGAGCGAGAATCACAGAGGGGAGGGGGCGGTGGGAGACGGCCAGAGGGGGACGGGGGGGGAAATGGAAGGGGGCAGCGGAACAGGGGAGCGCAAGCGAGGGGGGGTGCATGGGGAGGGGGGGGGGTGGAGGGGAGGGGGTGGAGGGGAGGGGATGGAGGCAAGCTAGGTGCGCTCGCGTCATATCTGACATCCTACCCCTCCCTCCCATCCCTTACCATGGCGTAGATCCCCTCTCTACTCGCACAGTCGGATGTCGAGCAGGGCAATGATCCCGAAAGGGTACGCGATGCATTGTAGAGCACGGCATGGCATGGCGTAGAAGAGCACCGCAAAGCGTAGTATCAACCTAACATTGCATTGCATTGCATGCCGTGGCATGGCACGGGAAATGACGCCAGCGCTGCAGCGGGAGCAGGAGTCGGAACGAGCGGAAGCGCGGAAATGAGGCCAGCGCTGCAGCGGGAGCACGATTCGGAACGAGCGGAAGCACGGAAATGAGGCCAGCGCTGCAGCGGGAGCACGATTCGGAACGAGCGGGGCCCGAAAATGAGGCCGGCGCCTCAGCGAGAGCAGCATTTTGAAAAAATGCAAGCGAAAACCCAACTCCAGGGAATCCTGTGTAAAAAAACAATACGCGGGGGGGGGGCGAACACTCCCAACCCGTCATCAGGGGAAGGAGGAGAGTAGTATTCATATTGAGTAATTGTAGAGGGAGTGGAGGAGGGGGTGGATGGGGCGGGGGGAGTGGGGAGGGGGGGGGGGACAGGGGGGGAGCAAGAAACCAACAGCTCGACCTCGCCGAAACCAGTACGCAGAAGCAAAGAAGGGAGGGGGGCCAGGCAGTGCCAAGGGGGCGTCAGCGCCAAGGGGGCGTCAGCGCCAAGATGGTCGCCAATCGAAGCGGGCGCCACCCCCCCGGACGCCCCCAAGGGCGGCCAGAGACGCCCCGAAACCTCACCGATCCTCGATCCTCGATCCTCCCTCCTCCCGGGCCCTGGCTTCCAGGAGGTGTCCTCCTCCTCCTCCTCCTCCTCCTCCTCCTCCTCCTCCTCCTCATCCGCCCTCCTCCTCCTCCTCCTCCTCCTCCTCCTCCTCTCCTCCTCCGCATCCTCCTCCTCCTCCTCCCTCCCCTCCTCCTCTCCTCCTCTCTCCTCCTCCCTCCTCCTCCTCCTCCTCCTCCTCCTCCTCCTCCTCCTCCTCCCTCCTCCCCCCTCCTGGGCCCTGGATTTCCAGGAGGTGTCCTCCTCGATCCCACTACCCTCGTCGAAAGTAACCTCAAAAATGGCGGTCACTCCCCTGCGATGTCGGCGCGCCCTCCAATGTCGATAGACGCCCCTCCAATGTCGGGGCCAGGGCAAAAGTGGTCTGACCGGGAACGACTCGGAAGTTCGATGATGAGCGACATTGGAGGGGCGGCGCATACAAGTACCTCGCAGTCACCGCTGCTCTGCCCAGCATCTCCCCACAGACGGTCCAGACATGTTCGAGGTCAATCTTGGCGAGGGCTGTAGAGGTGACCCTCCCAGTGGCGACCCCCGCTGGCACTGCCCGACGGAAGGGCGGGGCAGCCCCCCCCCCCACCCCACCCCACCCCCCACCCACGCTGCGCTGGGCAGGCGAGGGCGGGGAGCGGCGGCCAGGCCGCCTTCACGACGACGCTGGAGATGTCGATGTTGGTGATGTTCTGGAACCCCTCCTCGTACATCTCCTCGGGGAAGAGGGCGAAGAGGACGAGGAGAAGGAGGAGGAGGAGGAGAAGGAGGAGAAGGAGGAGGAATACAAGGAGGAGGAGAAGGAGGAGGAGGAGGAGAAGGAGGGGGAGGAGGAGGAGGAGGAGGAGGAGGAGGAGGAGGAGGAGGAGGAGGAGGAGGGGGGAGGAGAGGGGGAGGACGAGGGGTGGAGGGCAGGAGGAGCGACGACGAGGCGAGGACAAAGAGGAGGAGGAGGAGGAGGAGGAGGAGGAGGAGGAGGAGGAGAGGAGGAGGAGAAGGAGGAGGAGGAGGAGGAGGAGGAGGAGGAGGAGGAGGAGGACCAGGGTAGACCCCATACGCATCAACGATGTTGCAATAAACCATCCCTCCAAGTTCCCTCTTCATAGGTCCCTTGCAACAATTTCTTATCATTACGGGGAACGCTCCGTTGGAAGACAACCACCTGAGAATCCTCGATCGTGCCAAAACAAAGTTCCTGGGACTTCAGCGCCGCGACTCAACGTGACTGTTGCGTCCTGGCAGTCATACATCGTGCCAGAACACGATTCCTGGGACTTCAATGCCGCGGATCAAAACGACCGTTGCGATTTGGCATTCCTAATTCCTGCCAGAGCACTGGCCATGGGACTCCAAACACCGCGAATCAACGACACCGGTGTGCCCTGACGGTGCTAAACCGTGCCAGAACACCATGCCTGGGACCTCGGCCTTACGAGTCATTGAAACTGATACAAACTTTGAATGCGAATGTGTGCGGCGCAGGAGCGAGAACCTCATTTTGAAAAAAGAGCCGCCCAACATTCTGGAGCCGACTGCGAACTTGTGATACGAATGTGCGCTGCGCTAAAGCAAGAGACACAGTTTGGAAAAGGACCCGCCCTCCATCTTTGAAGGTGTTACACAGTTTCGATACGAATGCGCCCTGCGCGAGCGCGAGAGCAACTTTTTGAAAAGGACCTGCTCTCCATCTGTGAAGCTGTTGCATACTGTCAAGACGAATGCGCACGGCGCTCAACTGTTACGGCGAATGCGCGGCCCTCAGGCGAGAACCACATTTCGAAAACGGCCCGCCCTCCATCCGTGAAGCTGCTGTAAATGTCCAGCTTCAGAAGTCTCAGGCGACCCGCCCGGCCCGCCCTACAGACACGTCTGGGGGTGCGGCAGGGCAGTGCTGCTTATAAGGAGGATGGGATGGAGGAGGGTCGTCTGCTTTCCCCCCTGGAGGGAGGCTGGGTGGAGAAGGAGGAGGAAAGGAGGCAGGGGGGAAGACGCGGAGGAGGATGAGGAGGAGAAGGAGGAGGTGGGAAGGTGGAGCAGGAGAGCGAGGAGGAGGAGGAGGAAGATGATGAGGAGGAGGAGGACGATGAGGAGCGGGAGGAAGAGGGGGAGGAGGAGGAGGAGGAGGAGGAGGAGGAGGAGGCGGATGCGGATGGTGGGGAGAAGAAGGAGGCTCCGTAGCCATTTTGGCTCAAGCCGTCCGCAGCGGATGACCTTTTGGCTCGATTGTGTCTCGCGCATGGTTGCCGCCTAGGAGGTGCCTGCGCGGGCTTGTTCTGGCACGGGAGGGCATGGGGGATGCATGCCCAGTTACACCACGACGTACAGCTGCTGAGCGTCAAGCTCGCCGAGATTGGGCCCGCCTTTCGGCTGATCGGGCTGTGCATCGGCTTACTGAGGAGCTGCCCAGGAGCTGAAGGAGCTCCAGGTAAAGTATGATGGTCTGCTCTAATCGGTTGTGGCCTTTTTCGGCGGTCCCGATCTTGCAGATAGAGTTCTCGCAGTGGTTCCTGCTCTCGCGGACCTGCTGCATGGACGCTATGCTGAGCATTCGGTTGCGCTCCGACGGAACATAGCCTTACATTCCTCGGCGACGCCTGGGTTATGGATTTCTGCTGCATCGACCAAGGAGCGCAGGAAATTACAAAAAGGTGCCAGGCTGCCAAAGGTTTCGACTTTCAATCCCGACGCTGCCCCGTTTGCTCCGCAAGACTTGGGCGACCCGATCGTGGAGTAGCTCGGTAGGCCTGGGATTTGGGAGCCTTTCGAGGTGGCTTCGCCTTCGTCTCAGACTTCCGGTGCTGTGAGGCCAAGAGCAGATAGCGACGATTTTTCGGCAGAGCCTGGCCCCCACCCCGCGGCAGGGGATAGAAAGGCAGACGTCTGTGGTTGGACTTTCAATATTGTTCGCGCTGACATGCAGGATAATCCAGAAGCTGGCCAGCGCAGATGTTGTTCGGAAGGACATGTGTTTATCAGGGAGGAGACTCACGATCTTCCTGTTACATGCACGGTGTGTGCGAGCACCATTTCGTTTGGCTACGATCTGTTCCTTTGCTCTGGGGACAATGATTGTGAGGATCTTTTCTGCGCGGACTGTGTACATCCTTTGTTACTGCGTGAAGCTCCCATTCTTGAGATGCCGATGGCTGAAGGGCCAGCTATCCCTACGGGGCCGCTGATCGATTGGGCCAACATCGGCGTTGGGTAAGGTGGGCGTGGCGGTTTTTTGGCACAGGAGTTCAGCACGGATCGGCTGGGGATTTCCTTCATAGTGGCGCCTTCTTGCGAATGACATTTGTGAATCCTTGACGTGGTGTGCAGCATCCGTTTTGAATCTGTGGGCATGCAGGGAGCAGGTTGGGGTTGTGAACGAGGATTTCGGCCTGTTATCCGTCGTGCTGGACTGAGCTATCTATAGGGGTTCCGCAATGTGGATTCCGCCCCTGCAATGTGTCAAACGCAGGCAGGTAAGAGGTAACAGGAGGAGGAGGAGGAGGAGGAGGAGGAGGAGGAGGAGGAGGAGGAGGAGGAGGGGGAGGAGGAGAAGGTGGGAAGGTAGAGGCGGAGGGAGGAGGAGGAGGAGAGGGAGGAGAGGAGGAGGAGGAGGGGAGAAGGAGGAGGAGGAAGGAGGAGGAGGAGGAGGAGGAGGAGAGGAGGAGGGGAGGAGGAGGAGGCGGGGGAGGGGGAGGGGGAGGCGGATGGTGGGGAGGAGGAAGGAGGAGGAAGGAGGAGGAGGAGGAGGAGGAGAAGGAAGGGGCGGAAGGAGCGAGCGATCGAGCGCCGATGCCGTTCCGCAGGTGCGCGGGGAAGGCCCCCCAGGGAGGTCGGCAGTGGGGCCGCGGCCCCTCACGGGGAGGCATTGTCCACCCTTCCCGTGGCTCGCGCAGACGTAGAGTTGCAGGTTGGCCAGGGACCGGACTCGTGTCTCGAACTCTCTGGGATCTGGGAGGAAGGGTAGGCGGCCGTGGTGATGATGATGATGATGATGATGATGATGATGATGATGATGACGATGACGATGGTGATGATGATGATGATGATGGTGATGATGATGATGATGATGATGATGATGATGATGATGATGATGATGATGAGGAGGATCATGATGAGGATCATGATGCAGATGATGATTATGATGGCGACGACGACGACGATGATGATGACGATGCTGTTGATGATGATGCCGATCATAATGATGCTGATGCTGATGCTGACGATGACGATGATGATGCTGATGATGATGCTGATGATGAGGATGAGGATTATGGCGCTGATAATGATGGTGATGCTTATGTTGATGTTGTTGCTGTTGCTGCTGCTGATGATGATGATGATGACGATGAACGATGTTGATGATAATGGTGATGGTCGTGTGCTGCAAGATGCTTATGTACCGCAACAACAGTATGAAACTCGCAACGAGACGAAAGTCACATTAAATCCAAAGGCTCATGATACCCTCACTGGACACGAACGTTGATTAGTGAAAACATTTCCCCAGCCACAACCCAGAGGGTTCGGGGTCACAGGTGGCCATAAGATGAAAGCTTGTTGACCACTCTGTTGTGTCCCATCTGATTACGTGACCCCTTATACACCCTCGTGAACGTCTTTGAGGCGGAGGAGTATGCAGAGCTACCCCAAGCTTTCCTGACGTGGCTAACCCACGAATGGCCTTGCTCAGCCACTGCTAATGCTGCTATGCTCGTGAGGTCTCTTCGCAAATGGCCGTGCAAACTGAACAAAGACTGGCGGTGGACTCTTGGAGAAGAGGGGGACGAGCAGAGGAGGCCCAGCCCTGCGCCAGACGAGCCCTGCGGTGGGCGGTCCTCGCTGAGGCGCGAGTTCCCCGCCCCCAGCATCATGATGCTGCTGCTGGGCTGCACGTAGTCCAGGAGCGTGTCCTCGCCGGTGGGGGCTTCAACCCCCCACGCGGGCTCAGTGTGCTTCTCTCCCTCTCCCTGGGGTCGGTTTTCCGAAGCTCGTGAAATATTCGAACACTCGTTTTGGAAACCCCTATGTCTGTAGCGTGGAGTGCCTCCCGGCCCCGCCTGCCACCGCCGCTGGTCCCAGACCCCCGACGTCATGATTTTTTCATTACGCGAACCCCAGAGGTCCAGACCCATTCGCCGGGACCGGTTTTTCATCCCGAGTCGTTTTTTGACGGTCCCGAGGGCCGGTAAGGGCCCCCCGAGGCTGAAAATAGGGGAAAACCTTCCGTCGTGATTTTTTCATGACTCGAGGGGGTCTGGGGTGGCCGCCGCTCGCTCCGGGTGGGCCCCTGCCCGGCGCCGCAGGCCAGGCGCCTCCGTGGGCCACGGGGCCGCCCGGGGGCAGCAGGGGCTGCCGAGAGGGGGGCACCTGCCGGCCGCCCGGCTTGCCGAGTCCGTCCGTCAAGCCTGGCGCGCAGGACGGCGCAGTGGCAACATATAAAAAGCCCAGACCCCCTCGAGTCATGAAAAAATCACGACGGAAGGTTTTCCACTATTTTCGGCCTCGGGGGGCCCTTACCGGCCCTCGGGACCGTCAAAAAACGACTCGGGATGAAAAACCGGTCCCGGCGAATAGGTCCGGACCTCTGGGGGTCGCGTAATGAAAAAAAACATGACGTCGGGGGTTTGGGAGTGATGCGTGCGACCAGAAACATCAACAATGGCCCCGGGCTCGGACCGGGCAGAGAAAGGCGGGCAGCGAGAGCGCTGCGGATGCACCTGCAAAAGTATCGGCGCCACGCGGGGGGGAGGGCGGAGGAGGGGAGGGGGCGGAGGAGGAAGGAGCGGCTTCCCGAGGCGGGCATTTCTACATGACCACCGCCTGGAGGGTCAGCTTCCGGAGCCTCGGCAGGCGGTGGAGATGGACACATTCGGGCTGGCCCCCGGGGGCCGAAACCTATCCATAGCCACCGCCCGCTGGGGCACCAGGACCCAGACCCCCGACGTCGTGATTTTTTCATGACGTCGACCCCCAGAGGTCTGGACCCTTTCCCCGGGACCGGTTTTTCATCCTGAGTCGTTTGTTGACGCTCCCGTGGCCCGGTGAGGACCTCCAGAGGGGGAAAATAGAGAAAAACCTTCCGTCGTGATTTTTTCACGACGCGAGGGGGTCTGGGGACGTCGGTTCCCGGGCGGTGGGTATGGACAAATCCCTGCCTCGCAGGCTCGAGATTCGACGCGCCTGCCTTGGCCCCTGGCAGCCGCCAGCTCTGGCTGCCACCGCGAAGCCCCGGCAGGCCCTGCCCGTGCCCGCCGGCCCCGGCTGCCGCGGGCGCGGGCCGCCGCCGCGCGACCCAGGGAGCCCCCGCGCACCAGCCCCGCCAGGCGGTGCGGGATCTGCGAGCCGGCATGCCACAGCCCATACTTTTCAGCCTCTCTCTCTCTCTGTCTCTTCCTCGCTCTTTCTCTCTCTCGCTCTCATTTTCTCCCTCTTTCTCTGTCATTTTCTCTCCTGCTCCTCCTCCTCCTCCTCCTCCTCCTCCTCCTCCTCCTCCTCCTCCTCCTCCTCCTCCTCTCCTCCTCCTCCTCTCCTCCTACTCCTCCTCCTCCTCCTCCGTCTCCTCTCCTCCTCCTCCTCCTCTCCTCCTCCTTCCTTCCTTCCTTCCTTCCTTCCTTCCTTCCTTCCTTCCTTCCTTCCTTCCTTCCTTCCTTCCTTCTCCTTCTCCAACTCCTGCCCCTACTCTGCGCCAGAGGCTGCTTTTCATCCTCCCCATCCCTTTCCTTTCCCGTTCTTTCCTGTCCTTTCCTTTCCTGTCCTGTCCTCCTCCACATCATAAATATCCCTCCTTCTTCTTCTTCCTCCTCCTCCTCCTCCTCCTCCTCCTCCGCCTCCGCGTGTGTATGTATGTACTCCTTTCCCCCCCCATGGTGCGACCGAGTCCTTCAAGCCGGCCCAGCGCTGGTACCAGTCAAAAGGCTCCGGGTCCCTCGTGTACCGCTCCTGGGGGTCGGCAGTCGGAGGACGCTCGGAGGAGCAGCTGCAGCAGAGCCGGGACGAGCGGCACTGGGAGGATCGGGGGAGGAGGGCGGACGGGCGGTGCAGCAGGAGCCCGACCACGGGGCGCCTTGCACAAGGAACCCAGCCCTGAGACCCCAGGGCGTCCCCTGCTCTTCGGTGTGGGCGGGTTGCGCTCGCCACGTCAAAGCATCCATCGAGACCCAAGAGGCCCTCGGCACCCTGGAGGCCGGCAGGGCGTTTCTCGGCAGGGGCTCCCACCGTAGCAGGAGCAGGGAGGAGGCAGGCGCGGGAGAGGCAGGCGGGGAGGCGGAGATGCGGGGAGGCGGCGGAGGAGGGGGAGCGGGAGGGCAGGGCGCGGGGGATGCGGGAGCGGGAGCGGGCGGAAGGAGGAGGAGGAGCGAGGGGGCCGCATGCGAACCCTACCCCTACCCTCCACGATCTCTGAGGGGGAGGGTGGGGTTCACTCAGAACTCGTGGGGGGTAGGGGCAGGGTTCGCATGTGGCCCCCTCGGAGCGGGAGGAAGTGGACGGGGAAGACGAGGGGGCAGGTGGGGGAGGGATGAGGAAGGAGGATAAGGAGAAGGAGGAGGGATGAGAGACGAAAAGTAGGAGAAGTGAGGAGGGAGGAGGCACGAGAGCGGGAGGAAGAGGAGGGAGAGGAAGAGGAGAAGGAGGATGATGATGATGATGATGATGATGAGGAGGAGGAGGAGGAGGAGGAGGAGGAGGAGGAGGAGCATGAGGAGGGGACAGGGAGCGGCCCTGGGTGCACCTTCCCAGGGTCGGGCTCGGCCCCTCCAGGGGAACCCGTGTCCGTGCCGTGCACGGAGGGGTGCGGCGGTGTGGGTGGGCCTCGCCCAGGACCTCGGGGGGCGTCAGGTACGCCATGCCATGCAACTCCTCCTCCTCCTCCTCCCTCCTGCTCCTGCCTCCTCCTTCTCCTCGCCTCCGCCTCCTCCTGCTCCTCGCCTCCTCTCTCCTCCTCCTCCTCCTCCGCCTCCGCCTCCTCCCTCCTCCTCCTCCTCCTGCTCCTTCGCCTGCTCCTCCTCCTCCTCCGTCCTCCTCCTCCTCCTCTCCTCCTCCTCCTCCTCCTCCTCTCCTCCTCCTCCTCCTCCTCTCCTACGGCTCCTCTGGTTCCTCCTCCTCCTCCTCCTCCTCTCCTCCGGCTCCGCTGGCCTCCTACTCCTCCTCCTCCTCCTCCTCCTCCTCCTCCTCCTCCTCCTCCTCCTCTCTCCTCCTCTCCCTCCTCACTCTTCCTCTCCCTCCTCTTTCTTCCTCCTCTTTGAGTGCTGAGTTGTGCTCTGCACACCTGTGCCATGCTGTGGCGTGCGATGCTGCTCGGTGCGCTGCTGGTCGGTGGCGCGCCGAGGCAGGAAGTGAGAGGGAGCATGATCTCTCAGAAGGCGACGGGACTTCTCAGTGGCCCTCTGGAGAAGGCTCAGAAAGCTTCTCTCAGAAGGCCACAGGCCTTGTGAGCCTTCTGAGAAGGACCCCTGGGCGCGCCGCCGAACTGGGCACTGCTGTGCTATAATATGCCATGCAATGCATTGCTATGCGCTGCTATTCAATGCCACGCCACTCCACGCTCTCTAACTATACTCCTGGTCGCGCAATGCAATGCAAGTGTATGCTGTGCTATACGGCCCTGGGAACGTTCTGGATAGATTTGCTTCGCTGCGCCGTACTCGGCTACTGTGCAATACCGGCCCGTGCTATGCAATACGGTGCAATGCCGTGCTAGACAATACTCTGCTACGATTATATGATCTCCTCTGGTGTGCACTGCCACGCTATATATGTTGTTTAACTAATATTTCATACAATGCCATGATGTGCTATGATACGCGAAACTATGCAGCGCCGTGCTATGCAATGCTCTATCATGCCATGTGCCACGCTGCGCTATGCAATGCCATTACATGCTCATCTATGCGAATGTATGCTATGCTATGCGGTGCACGCTAGCCAATGAGGCGGTGCTGTGCTGTTCTATGCGATAGATTGCGCGACAGTGCTTTGCATTGATTGCAATCGTCTGAATTCGGCAAAAGAACATCCCCAATTGGGGTCGCGCTGTGTTCATTGTTTTGTGTGTTCGCGAACGCGCGCTCAGACGGAATGCTCAGCAGTTGACAGGTGTGCGGAAACATCAGGCGCACAAGACAACACCTATGGTATCTCTCATATGATTTCAAAAAATTATCCTGTCGACGTGCCAGTGCAGGCTAAGCGCTGAGCCAACGCGAGCACGACCACAACCGTGCAGTTCAACACACGATTGTCGCGCCAGTCAGTTCAGGCCAGCACGAGCCCAATTGTGCAATCAAGCAAGGTGGGGCTCACTTCTTGTACCGCTCCAGCAGCTTCTTCTTCTCCAGCTTGCCCATCTGGTTCCGAGGCAGCTCTGCGACAACCTCGAGCTCCTGGGGCACCTTGTAGGTCGCGAGGCGCTCCTTGCCCCACTCGCGCAGCTCCTTCAGGGTGAGGTCCCCGCCCTCCAGGACGCACACGGCGGTGACCTTCTCGCCCCACGTCTCGTCCGGCTGCCCCAGGACCGCGCACTCCCGGATCCTCTCGTGCTGCAGCAGGACGCTCTCGATCTCCTGGGGAAGCCACACGGTACCCATGGCGCTGCTCCCCGGACCTCTCCCCCCAGGGTCAGGATCTCGAGGCGAATCCGGCGGTGGCGCCGAGGGCCCCCCCCCCCCCCAAGAGGCCCCCAAAAAGGCGAGCACGAGGGTGCCGGTGTGGGCACCTTTTGCCTCCTCGGCTTCTCCAGCGCGGAGATCTTGTAGCCCCCGCTCTTGATGATGTCCACCGACGAGCGGCCCATGATCTTGTAGATCGACTTCAGCGCCTCGGGCGCGGCCTCGCCCGTCTCGGCCCGGGGGCGGCCGGTGGCGGCCTCCACGGCCCGCGCGTCCTTCTGCATCTGCTGCAGGTCCTGCGGCAGGAAGGGAAGGGGTGCGGAGGGAATCTTTTAGCTGCCCCGATACAGTCGGGGCGTTGACCTAAAGAACCCTAAATAAGGGACGAGGCCCCTTTCTTCCATGAGTCAAGCTTTGATTTCGTATCGAGAGCCTGAGGATAATCTGAGGCAAGCTGCGAAACAATTAAGGAACGCCGAGCCCCTCTCCAACGAAAAAGGTTCCTTCTTCAGGGCCCCGACTGTACGCAACACGCAACACGTATCGTATTGATACGGAGTTCAACACGTAGGCTGAAAACGCAGGTCCGACGCGAGACATTTGCCAAAACGCGGTCCAATGCGTGGAGCCAACACGCAGCGTATTGACACGGACGTTTTGAGCACGGCACGTGTTGCGTATCAAAACGGGCGTATCGAGGCAGCTAAGGAACAAATGGAAGAATGGGTACAATGCCCAACAGCAGTTCCTGTTCATTTTGAACAGGGCTCGCTGTCCGCGCCGCCGCGGCCTGTGTCTATCTGAGACAGAAGGCCGCCTGCCCAACCGCGGCCGCTGATGGTTTGGGACAACATTTGTTGTTGGGCATTGTACCCATTTGTTCCGTACCCATGTCGGGCGTCCAAAGTCCTCGTCGGGGCCACCGCACTGGGCACTGTCGCCGGTCATGAACCAGCCGTCCTCCGTGAACTCTTTCTTGGTCGCCTCCGGGTTCTTGTAGTACTCCTTGAAGACGAGCGCGCCCTTCACGAGGATGGCGTTGTCCTGCAGCTTCACGCGCACCCGGGGCAGCGGCCAGCCAACGCAGCCGGGGTATCTGGTACCATCGATCTTGTTGCTGAGCGCCATGCCGATCTCTGTCATGCCGTACCTCTCCAGCAGAACGTGCCCCGATAGTTCTGCCCAGGACTGCATCGTCGGAATTGGAAGCGCTGCAGAGCCAGAGACCATGTAGCGCATGTTGTCGTTTCGCAGCCCCTTCGAGATCTCTGCTCGAGCTGCTTCGTCCTGTTTCTCATAATGCTGCGTGAACTTGACATATATGGTCGGAACCGCATGGAAGCAAGTAATGTCGCCCGAACACAGTCGCTTCAAACAGAAGGCGGCGTCGAAAGCACACACCTCGACAGTAGCACCATTGTATAGCGCCGTGTTGAGGATGTTCTGGACGCCGTGGATGTGGTGCAATGGCAGCACGTGCAGCGTGTGATCCTTGCTCGACCAGTTCCACGCCTTCGACAGAGACGCGTACTGCTCGGACACGCTCCTGGAATGACAAAACACCACATGAGCATGCTTGCCAACGTCGGCCCCAAGCAATGAGACCTGCTTGGCACGGGGACGGAGAACGCAAGTGACTTTCCGTGATGGCGCGAGATTGCTGGCTTGTCCATTGATCCCCCCCCCTTACGTCCTCGCTTCTCCTCGCCCTTGTCGCACCCCTGAGGGGTCTCGGGGCCCTCTTGGGCCATCTTGGGGGACTCTCGGGATGCCGTCGGGCCCTCTTGGGACGGCTTGAAGACGTTCAGAGCAGATTTCAAGCCGATGTTAAAAACATTCCATGGAACATGCCATGTTGGAGATTGATCATTTGTGTAAGGGTGCCCTTAGCATAATCGCCAATTTCGGCAGTCTCGACGGCGCTCTTGGCTCGCTTGGACCGTCTGCTGTCCGAGTGTCTGTCGTGTTCTGCCCGCTTGGACCACCCACTTCCCAGAACCTCGTGTTCTCCTCGTTTGGACCGCCCGCTGTCCGAATGTCGAGTTTTCCCCGTCTGGACCGCCCATCTGTGTTCGGAGCCGTCACACAGAGTGCGTGCAGAGACCATGTGTTTTCACCGCTTGGACCGCCCGCTCTTCAGAACCATGCGTGAACCCCGTTCGGGCCGTCCGCTGTCCGAATGCTGCGTGTTCCCCCTTGGACCGCCCGCTTTCCAGAACCAGGCTTGTCCCCGCTTGGACCTGGGAGGCGCTCGGCTCTTTTGGGCCGCCCTGGGACAATCCCGGCGACACCTTGAGCCCTCGTGGCCTGTCGGAAGCTTGAGAACGCGAGAACGCTCAAACACCTAAAGGGCATCGCTGACTTGTGCCCCTTGCGGCCATATCGGGATCCTGGTGGAGCCCTCTTGGAAGTTCTTGAAGCTCATTGGGCCGTCTGGAAAGCGTATTGGGCCGTGTTGGGGTTCCCGTGGTCAGTCTTATAGGCCTCTGTCGGACCATCTTGAGGCCCTCCAAAGGCGATCCCATGACGATGTCGGACAAGACTGGGACCAACCCGACGTCGGCGGCATCACAGGGTGTGAGGATGTCCCTAGCGACATCACCATTTTGGGCACGAGCGATGTCGACACCATCTCATGTTTGTGAGGTGTCACTCGCGAAATCGCCATGCTGGGCAAGATCGAGATCGACACGATGTCGTCAACATCTCATGTATGTGAGGACGTCCCTAGCGAACTCGCCATGTTGGACAGCGGCGATGTCGATAAACTTGAGCTTGTGCGAGGGTATGCCTAGCGACATCGCCATGTTGGGCGGACGTAGGGCATGCTAGGCCCGTAGTGTCGTGCCATGTTGGGCCATCCCGAGGCCTTCCAACAGCGATCCGAAGGTATCGCATGGTTTTGAGGATGCCCCCAGCGAGTTCAGCGAAAACACCATTTGGGCTACTAGACCTGCTTGGCACGGGGACGGTACACGCGAGTTACTTCTTGTGATGGCGCGAGATCGCTGCCTCGTCCGTTCTTCCTCCTGGTTCGTGCCCCCTGAGGCAATCTCGGGGATCCTGTTGGAGCACTCTTGGGACTTCCTGGAGCTTCGTGCGCCATCTGGACGCCATCCTGGGCCATATTGGGATGCACTTGGTCAGTGTTGTTGGCCTCTGTTGGACCATCTTGAGGCCTTCCAAGAGCGATACCAAGACGACGTCGACAACATGATGTCCCTAGCGAAATCGCGATGTTGGGCAAGATCGAGACCAACACGACGTCGACAATATCTCATTTCTGTGAAGATGTCCCTGGCGAATTCGTCATTTTGGACAAGAGAGATGTCGACAACATCTCGTTCGTGTGACGACGTCCCTAGCGAAATTGTCTGTTTGGACGACCAAAAACCAAGACGACGTCGACAGCATCGCGCACGTGTGAGGATGTCCATAGCGAAATTGTCAGATAGGGCAAGAGCGATATCGACAACATCTCATTAGTGTGAGGCTGTCCCGAGCGAAATCGCCATTTGGGCGAAAATAGGGCGTGTTGGAGCCATCCTGTTGGGCTATGTTGAGCCGTCTTGAACCCTTCCGAGAGCGACCCCAAGACATGCCGATTTTGTGACGACGTCCCGAGCGGAATTGCTAGTTTGGCTACTCGTTTCCTGGGGCCCGACCTGCCAAGCACCTGGAATTCCCCACGCTTCAATTCCTCCAGCTAACAGATCACACTTTACGCGCGCTCTCCGTCATCTCACGCTCTCCATGTGTAAGCAATTGGGTGAAAACCGTGCGGTGCGAGATCTGTGGTGCAGACTAGGTGATGCAAGCGATGCAGTGCTGCTCGTGTGGTGCAGCCGATTTGGCGATGGTGGAATAGTTATGCATATGCAAATTGACCGGCTGACCGGTTAGCCGGCTAAGCGGCTGACCGGTTGACCGGTTGACCGGCTGACCGGCTGACCGGCTAACTGGCTGACCGGTTGACCGGTTGACCGGTTGACCGGCTGACCGGTTGACCAGGCGACCGGCTGACCGGTCGACCGCTGACCACATGACCAGCTGACCAGCTGACCTGCGGACCGGTTGACCGGCTGACTGGTCGACCGGTCGCGGCTGACCGGCTGACCGGTTGACCGGTTGACCGGCTGACCGGCTGACCAGCTGACCGGCTGGCCGCGTGAAGAAGCTGATGAAGGCGCTGACCAGCTGACCGGTTGACCGGCTGACCGGCTGACCGGCTGACCGGTTGACCGGCTGACCTGCTGACCGGCTGACCGGCTGACCGGTGGACCGGCTGACCCGTCGACCGCTGACCACATGACCAGCTGACAAGCTGACCTGCGGACAGGTTGACCGGCTGACTGGTCGACCGGTCGCGGCTGACCGGTTGACCGGTTGACCGGTTGACCGGCTGACCGGTTGACCGGCTGACCGGCTGGCCGCGTGAAGAAGCTGATGAAGGCGCTGACCAGCTGACCGGTTGACCGGCTGACCGGCTGACCGGTTGACCGGTTGACCAGCTGACCTGCTGACCGGCTGACCAAAATGACTGGTTGACCGGTTGACCGGTTGACCGGTTGACCGGCTGACCGGCTGACCGGTCGACCGGCTGACCGGCTGACCGGCTGACCGGCTGACCGGTGGACCGGCTGACCGGCTGACCGGCTGACCGGCTGACCGGCTGACCGGCTAACTGGCTGACCGGCTGACCGGTTGACCGGCTGACCGGTCGACCGGCTGACCAGCTGATTGGCTGACCGGCTGACCGGTTGACCGGTTGACCGGCTGACCTGTTGACCGGCTGACCTGTTGATCGGCTGACCGGGCGACCGGCTGACCGGTCGACCGCTGACCACATGACCAGCTGACAAGCTGACCTGCGGACCGGTTGACCGGCTGACCGGTCGACCGGTCGCGGCTGACCGGCTGACCGGTTGACCGGTTGACCGGCTGACCGGTTGACCGGCTGACCGGCTGGCCGCGTGAAGAAGCTGATGAAGGCGCTGACCAGCTGACCGGTTGACCGGCTGACCGGCTGACCGGCTGACCGGTTGACCGGCTGACCTGCTGACCGGCTGACCAGGTTGGACCGGTTGACTGCTGACCGGTTGACCGGCTGACCGGCTGACCGGCTGACCGGCTGACCAGCTGACCGGTTGACCGGTGGACCGGCTGACCGGCTGACCGGCTGACCGGCTGACCGCTTGACCGGCTGACCGGTTGACCGGCTGACCGGGTGACCGGCTGACCGGTCGACTCGCTGACCACATGACCAGCTGACAAGCTGACCTGCGGACCGGCTGACCGGGTGACCGGGTGACCGGCTGACCGGGTGACCGGGTGACCGGCTGACCGGTTGACTGGGTGACCGGGTGACCGGGTGTCCGGGTGACCGCGGGTGACCGGGTGACCGGCTGACCGGTTGACCGGCTGACCGGTTGACCGGGTGACCGGGTGACTGGGCCTCCAGAGGCACGCGGGGAGACGCGACGGTGCCACCAGAGGGCTCAAAGACGCCGAAAGATCGCTCCCAAGATGGCCCCCGGACGGCCGAAGATGCCTCCAAGACGCCCCAAGAGGCCTCCAAGAGGCCTCCCAAGAGGGCCCGAAGAGGCAAACATTTTAGCTTTTCTATAATTTGTGTCAAAATCTGTAAGGTTTTCTCGTTTTCGGCTTCCCGACGCTCCAAGACGGCCCAAGAGGCCCCAAGATCGCCCCAAGACGGCCTAATTAGGAGGCCCCCAAGACGGGCCCAAGACGGCCCAAGAGGGCCCCAAGACGGCCCCAGAGGCCTCCAAGACGGCCCAAGAAGCCCCCAAGACGGCTCCAAGAGGGGGCCCAGACGGGGGACCCGAACGGAAATTTCGAGCCCTCGGCCTCCAGAAGCCTCCAGGATACCCCGAGAGGCCTCCGAAAGGCTCCAAGAAGCCCCAAGAGTCCCCAAGAGGCCCCCAAGCGGCCCGAGACAGGCCCCAAGAGGCCCCAAAACGGTCCCCAAGAGGCCGCAAAAAAGCTTCCAAGAGGCCTCCGAGAAGCCTACCACGAGATCCCAAACGAACACTCAACAGACCTTTAACCCAGAACCCAGGCACGGTGGCGGGATGGGCCGAAGGCCATTCGATCCGCCGTCCCCTGTTGATTCATCACAGGGGTGCCTGGCGTGCTAGATCCTTTCGGATTTGGTTTTGGGTTCCTTTCCCCCCCCTGAAAAAACTCCCCCTGGGGCTCTGGCCCAGCCCGCCGGCCACCCGGAAGGGCCCACACGAGGTGGTCGCAAAGGTTTTTCCTGCTCCCGACGGCTCCAAGATGGCCTAAGATGGCTTCCAAGAGGGCCAAGATGGCCCTCAAGTTCGCCGAAAATGGTCCAAGATGCCTTCCCAGACGGCCCAAGAGGGTCCAAGATACCTCCAAGTTCGCCCAAGAAGCCTCCAAGACGGTCCAAGATGGCCCAAGGGGCCCCCAAAAGGCCTCCAAGACGGCCCAAGAGGCCTCCAAGAGGCCCTCCAGGAGAGCCCGAGGAGATCAAAATCAGTGATTTCCCGATTGTTTTTCAAATCTTTTGACATTTGCTTCTTTTTGGCATTCCGACGGCTCAAGACGGCTCAAGAGGCCCCCAAGATCGCCCTAAGATCGCCCACGAGGCCTCCAGGGTGGCCCTATGACGGCCCAAGAGGCCCCCAAGACGGCCCCAAGAGGGCCCCAACAGACCTCCAAGACGGCCAAGATGGCCTCCAAGACGGCTAAGATGGCCCAAAGATGCCTCCAAGACGGCCCAAAATGCACCCAAAACGGCCCGGGATGGCTTCAAGATGGCCCAAGACGGCCCAAGAGGCCCCCAAGAGGCCTCCAAGACGGCCCAAGAGGCCTCCAAGAGGTCCTCCAGGAGGGCCCGAAGATACCGAAATCAATGATGTTCCTAAGGTTTTTGGTATATGTTGGCATTTGTTTTTTTTGTTCGGCATTCCGACGGCTCAAAACGACCCAAGAGGC